CATACACCCCCTCTGCCTGTGCCCCCTCACACCCCTCTGTCTGTCCCCCTCACACCCCTCTGACCCCATACACACCCCTCCATCTGTCTGGCATTCAAACCCCTCTGACCCCATACACACCCTCTGCCTGTCCCCCCTTCACACTCCTCTGACCCACTTCACACCCTCTGTTTGAACCCCGCCACCCCTATGACCCCATACAGACCCTCTGTCTGTCCCCCCTTCACACACCTCTGCAACCATACACACCCTCTGTCTTCCCCCCCCAAATCCCTCTGACTCCATTCACACCCTCTGTCTGTCCCCCCTTCACACCCCTCTGCCTGGCTGTTCCCATGTGCACCCTCCATCCATCCATAAACACCTGTCTGTCTGGCCCTATGTGACCCCTTTGTCTGTCCCCATACACCTCACTCTCTGTGTCTGACCCCATGTACACCCTCTGTCTGTCTGATCCCATACACACCCCTCTGTCTGTCTCTTCCCTACGCACCCCTCTGTCTCTCCAGCCCCACACGTCCCATCTATCTGTCTCTCTAGCTATGGGTCCAGTCCTTTTGCCAACCTGGCCCCCAGCACTGGACGTGGGGGCCAGTACCCAATCGCCAATGCCATGGACGGGGCAAATCCACTCCCATCTCTGACTCCCTGGTTCCACGTCCCTTAGCCCCAGCACTGCCGGGACCTCACATTGGGTGACCCCTAGTTCTTGGCTTTCTGGGACACTGGCCCCCCTTCTGCAGGGCTGTCGTGTCTCCCCTGCTCCCAGACGCATCAGCCTGCATAAAAAGGCATTTTGTCAGCATGGGCCCAGCCGGCCAGGATGCAGCCAGCGTTGTAGGACTGTCCTTTCTCCGGCGCTGCTTATTTCCCCGCCAGTGTCTGCCTCAACCTCCCTCGGAGCAGCAGCAATTTTATATTGACTACCCCAATCTCTGAGGATAATGCTGAATGCAACTGATCACCACAGAACCTACATGGATAGATGGATGGGGATAGATAAATAGTTAGATAGATAGAGGGAGGGTCTGGGAAAAGATAGATAGCTAGATGGGGTGTATGGGGATAGATAGATAGAGGTGTGGATGGGGTTAGATAGATAGAGGGGGTATATGGGGATAGATATAGAGATAGATATGTAAGCAGAGTCAGGATGAGCTCTACCCTGACATCTGGTAGTAAATTGTACAGTGTTGTGGAAAAGAAGTTCAGGGGCTGATCTTGTTTGCATAGACACACCCACCCGGCCTAGCTTGAGCCCACAGCAGCCCAAATGGTCACTTGGACTGCTGTGGGATCCCCAGTTTCTCTGTTATTGGGGCAGGAAGAATGAAGTGTTGTTACCCTGATTATGTGAATCAAGGGCAGTAGAACTGTACTTGGCATTTTATGATGGAGGGACTCACCATCAACTAAGTAGCACTCACTAGACAAGGGACATGGGTTCCAAAACCCAGTGAATAGACAGACAGACAGACAGACAGGGGACAGGTATCTGTGCCTCATGGCATGGGTCCCTTTTGAGGGCCTGAAATGCCACTTAGAATCATAGAACATCAGGGTTGGAAGGGACCTCAGGAGGTCATCTAGTCCAACCCCGTGTTCAAAGCAGGACCCATTCCCAACTAAATCATCCCAGCCAGGGCTTTGTCAAGCCAGGTCTTCAAAACCTCCAAGGAAGGAGATTCCATCACCTCCCTAGGTAAAGCATTCCAGTGCTTCACCACCCTCCTAGTGAAATAGTGTTTCCTAATATCCAACCTAGACCTCCCCCACTGCAACTTGAGACCATTGCTCCTTGTTCTGTCATCTGCCACCACTGAGAACAGCCGAGCTCCATCCTCTTTGGAACCCCTCCTCAGGTAGTTGAAAGCAGCTATCAAATCCCCCCTCATTCTTCTCTTCTGCAGATTAAATAATCCCAGTTCCCTCAGCCTCTCCTCATAAGTCATGTTCTCCAGCCCCCTAATCATTTTTGTTGCCCTCCGCTGGACTCCTTCCAATTTTTCCACATCCTTCTTGTAGTGTGGGGCCCAAAACTGGACACAGTACTCCAGATGAGGCCTCACCAATGTTGAATAGAGGGGAATGATCACGTCCCTCGATCTACTGGCAATGCCCCTACTTATACAGCCCAAAATGCAGTTAGCCTTCTTGGCAACAAGGGCACACTGTTGACTCATATCCAGCTTCTCATCCACTGTAACCACTAGGTCCTTTTCACAAAGTTTAATTGCTTAATTCCCTCCAGCCTCTGCAGAGTTAACTTTTCACTCTCTTTCCTTAAATCACTTGCATATCTCCCAAAATGACACTTTTATCAACTCAGATTTTACCATTTCAAGTATTGTCCCAGGGATCTGAATTCCCCATGGCTGTACTTACTTACTCCTTTCTTTACTCCTGCCACTCTGCCCTCAGGGCTTCCAACCTGTTTTCCAATTTCTTTATCTGTTGCTTGCCTGCTTGTCTGGGCCCGATCCTGCTTTCCTCGCTGAACCGTCCCTTTCCATGGGCACAGGCTTTGTTCCACTACCAATTTAGCAAGGAAGGAGGGCTCCATAACCCCTCCTGGTGGCTTTCCTTGGACATTTCTTTCAAAATTGTAAAATCACCACAATATCACTTCCAAAAAGACTACACTGCCCAAACTCCTATATGATTCAGAGTTTGGATTAACAGAACAAGATCTGTTTAAAAGGTGAGGTCGGGGCCACCTCCAGTTTAACTTCCCCTTCAGGCACAAGCTTACCCTGCCTTTTCTTGAACATTTTTTAAAAGCTTGTTCAAACTTTCCATCACCCCGACACGGTTCAGTGAGTGACACAGCCTGGATTCTGAAATCGTAGCTGAATAATATTTACCTCTGTCTATACATATCCTTTAAGGCAAGGAGATTGATTTATCACTGTCTATATATATATCCTTCAAGACCTAGAGGGTGGACAAACTCCTATATCCTTCAGAGTTTGTCTGGTTGTCAAGATAGAAGTGCCAAGCTCTCTAGAGCTGGTGGTGTGCACACCAATTTTCACAATAACCAAGACAAATACCAATATTCCCCCTTTCGCAATTCTCCACCAAAATGTTATACCAATAAAATAAAAACCAGCAGGATCTTATTAAAGGGGATAAGGCAAAATGCCACATTTATTGTGAATACAGAAAGAATGAGAGTAAGCAGTCAATTATAGCTGTAACATCTCATTCACTCACACACATACACACACAAGTCCTGCAAAGTTGTTATAGTTCCCAGCCTAGGAGTTGCTCATGCCAAGTCACTGGCCAGGTGGCCTGGACACGAGGGTGAGCAGGGTCTTGTCAGATGCGCAGCCGATGCTCCTGGAGGTTGGTTTGCAGAATCAGACCCAAAGTCCTCAGTCTTCAGTAGAAAGAACAGGAGTACTTGTGGCACCTTAGAGACTAACAAATTTATTAGAGCATAAGCTTTCATGGGCTACAACCCACTTCTTCGGATGCATAAGTCTTCAGTAGGGTGACCAGATGTCCCGATTTTATAGGGACAGTCCCGATATTTGGGGCTTTGTCTTATATAGGTGCCAATTACCCCCCAAGCCCGTGTCGATTTTTCATCCTTGCTATCTGGTCACCGTAGTTTTCAGGGTCTGTTCTTATAGGGATTTATCCTCATACAAGTTTATAGGGTTTGCTTCATCATGCTGTTCTCACATTTGAGGTGATAGTCAATCATGCAGATGGCACAGCAATGACAAAATGACACTATGTTGTTATCTTGTTCTTTGATTCTTTGACACGCCTGTCCTTGGGGCAAGTATGCCCTCAGGGTTATTGGGCTATCTCGTCCATTGCTTTCTTCAGCCAAACGATCTGATTTTAAGGTTGGCACCTCAACCTTTAATCTTTCATTCCTCATTTAATCATACATACATACAATTACATTCACACTCCAACATATATCCTGTCACATCTGCATTTTAATCACCTACCCATCCTTTAACATAACCATTCTAAAATCAGTGGGACATGGCAGATTTCAATAAGTCTATTCATCCCACTTGTTATATCTAAAAGGAAATGAACAAGATAAGCCTGCAAGAGTGGGGGATTCACACATCTTATTCCAGAGTTCAGGAAAACAAAGTTGTACCAGCAAACTCTTTGTCTCTGGACGTTTTTCTACAATTAACACAGACCTTGCAAACTGGCAGGCCTGTTTCAATTAGCACAAACTCAGCAGGTTGAGAGAGCCATCTGAGAGACATTTCTTTCTAATGGTCAGTCCAAATCCTGGGATCTGCTGTGGAGTCACTCTTTCTTACATTTCCCATATCAGAAATATACCAGTTATCAATCTAGTCCAACACCTGGTCTGTCACCACTTTGTTTTATCACCCTGTGAGGGCAGTGGGCGGAGACCTCCTTAAGTATTCATTGGAAATGAAAATTAGCCAAGTCAGCCTCACCGCCCTTTGCCTGTGTCCAACCCCCAGTGCTGGGGGTGGCTGATCCATGGAAGAACTCACCACTCACATCACCAGCTGCTTAATGAGGGCAACATAAAAACCAGCAGTGGGGCAGGACTGGGAGATAACACCGGATCTCCAGCAAGGACGGCCAGCCATAGAAGGGATCCCACCAGATATGTTCCTCCCTGCCTCACCAACTACGATGGGCACCTACAAAGTCCATGTCACCACTGGGAACTTCCTGCTAGCCAGGACGTTCAGCTCCATCTCCAACACCCTGGTGGGGACCCACAAGGAGAGTGACAAGAAGTCCCTCAACAACTGGGGGAAGGACTTCAAACCCAGGGCGGTGAGTACTAGTAGAACGGGGCCAGGCTCTGTGGACAGAACCTCCCAGTAGAAAGTGCGGGGGTCGCCAACGCTCAGGACTTGGGGCTGTTTGATCATCAATCCCCAGCTTCTGGAGTCATGAGGTTACACTGTGCAACTCTGCATTCATTTGAAAAAATATTGAAGTTTGTAGTCCTAGTGGTTGCATAGAAAACCTGAACAAAGTGCAGCTTAAAAGATCTCCAAATAGTTGGTGGTTTTTTTAAATCTCCAGTGCCTGGAGTCACGTGATTATGACAGGAGACTGGCAGCTTTTATTGTGAGAATGTTACTGCTTATGCTAGAGAGGAGAAAGGGGTGCAAATTTTCAACTGTAATTTTTTTTGTGGTGAAAAATGGCTATTTGGCACAACCTTTCACAAATCTGCAGTGATTCCACTAAACTGTTTGACTTCCAAAATAAAAAAATCAGAATGTTTCGGTCTTCTCATTTTCAAAATGAAGGTGTTCAATTTTTCTAGGTAATGAGCATTTCTTTTATGTTTCATTTTGTTTAAAATGTTTTAAAAAATGCTTGAGACAAAACAAAACTTTTTTTTCAGGTCGAATGAAATATTTTGTTCAACCTGAAATGACGTCCCCTGACTTTTTGATTCGCCAAAAATTTCATTTTTTCGGTTTGACCAGAAGTGAATCCCCCCCCCCCCCAAGTTTGTTGGAATTGCCAGAACTGAAAAATCCATTCTATGTCCTCATTATACTACGTGGATCGGATGGTCCAGTGGTTAGAGTAGTTGCCAGGGCTATGATAGATCCTGGATCTATATTCCCTCT